GGGAGCAGGTCAAACAGACTGTGTCCAGGGTGAGAAGGGTCAGCTGAGATCCGAGCTGCACGCCGCAGTGTCCTGGAGGTGTACAGGTCCTGCAGAGATGGGAGTGTTAAGTGTTGTACTTTACCATAAATATGGAAAAAGATTTAAATGTCATTTTTATGTGGTGCCAATGGGTTCTGAAGATGTGTTCATGTGTTCATATGGGGTGGCTGTAGCTCAGGTGGTAAAGCAAGTCACCGTTAGGAGGGTTAGGTGGTTAAGTGGTTAGGTGGTTCAATCCTAGTCTGCTCCAGTCTGCATGCCAAATATTCAAGATACTAACCCCAGGTTGCTTTCCGATGCATCCATCAGAGTGTGAATGTTAGTTAGACAGCACTAAAAACGTAGAAAAGTGCTTGTATAAATGGGCGTGATTGGGTGAATGAATGAGTTGTACAAAGCATTTTGAGTGCTCAGATAGAGTAGAAAAGCGCTCTATAAAACCAGCCCATTTACCATATGTGATGTGCCTGAATGGCAATGGCTGGTAAGAACCAGTGAGGTTGAGGGTTTTGTCTTTTTGCAGGATTTGGTGCTAAGAAACAACAGGAAAAATATTTGCAAAAAGTAGCACTGCAGTTGTGCTTTTCACTGAAACCTTTCACCCTCATCACAGACTTGTAACCTGTCCAGAACGTACCATGGTTGTACAATGGTAACATTCAAACAGTGATAGCAAAGAGAGAAATGCCCCTCCATGAACAGCAACCTTACCATGCTATAGGGATTTATTTGTCACAGTGATCCCAGTGTTGCTGGGATTTTTTTTCCTGTGGCAGGGGAACAAAATCCCAGGTCCTGGGTGAGGGGCCAGACTAAGAGTGATTCAGCTGACTGCTGTGACAGGAAAAAAAAAAAAGGCCAAGACCAACAAAGGCCCCAGTCAGGTAGATCTTCAACTCCACAGACCAGAACAGTATTCGAAGGGAAGCTGGAACACCAAGATTATGCAGACCATGTTCTGCATCTCATTTGCTGATTTGCAAGATAATTGGTGCCTGTCATGGTGGTAATCCCTGAAGCAGATGGTAGAATGTCCACCAAAGTGGAAACTTCTAAGCAGATCTGTTTGTTTTTAATCAACAGTCACAATAACCGTGATAATGGGAGAGATTTCAGAATCACCATGAAATACAATTATTGAGAGAATGTGCATACACTGGCTTCTACACAGTATAGAGTTTTAAAGAAAAGTACCTGGATTAGTTTTGATAGAAATAAATTGCTCAATGGCACAAAATAAATTTGCAGCGAACATGATGCTGCTCTTGCATTCGTGGAAAGATTGGTCCACACATTTTACACGCTTAGTCATGTAAAATCACATTTTTTATTTTCATCGTGATAATTATGCTGAGGTATTACAATTTTCTTTGAAATTTGTTACACATAGCACCTGTAAATGAGGGTTGGTTATATATATATATATA